GGAATAAACCTAACCAAGGAGGTAAAAGACCTGTATGCAGAAAACTACACAACACTGAAGAAAGAAATCAAGGAAGACACAAACAAATGGAAACATATACCTTGTTCATGGGTTGGAAGAATTAACATCATCAAAATGTCCATACTACCCAAAGCAATTTACAGATTCAATGCAATACCTACTAAAATACCAATGGCATATTTCACAGACATAGAACAAACACTTCAAAAATTTATATGGAACCATAAACGACCCCGAATAGCAGCTGCACTTTTGAGAAAGGAGAACAAAATAGGAGGGATCACAATATCTGATACCAAACTGTATTACAAGGCCACTGTAATCAAAACAGCCTGTTACTGGCATAAAAACAGGCACATAGACCAATGGAACAGAACAGAGAGCCCAGAAATAAAGCCAAGTCTCTATAGTCAATTAATATGGGCAGCAACATAAAACAGAGTAAAAATAGCCTCTTCAGCAAATGGTGTTGGGAGAACTGGACAACTACATGCAAAAAAAATGAAACTTGAGCACCAACTTACACCATACACCAAAATAAATTCAAGGTGAGTAAAAGATTTAAATATAAGCCATGACACCATTAAAGTCCTAAAGGAGAACACTGGCAGGAAAATCTCAGATATTTCATGCAGCAACATTTTTTACTGATATGTCCCCTAGAACAAGGGACATAAAGGAAAGAATAAACAAATGGGATCTCATCAAAATAAAAAGCTTCTGCAGGACTAAAGAAAACAGTATTAAAATAAAAAGAGAATCAGACTTCCACTAAGATGGAGGTGTAAGTGGAAACAATATACCTTCTCATACAACCAAGTTTAAAGACAACAAAGTTTAATAACAAAAAAATGCAGCCAAAACACAGAAAATTGAACTAGACAGAAGTCTGACAACAACAAACCATTCAGCCAGGCCGGTAAGAGGGGCAGAGCCAGCAGCAGAGTGGGGTTGGGCAGAAAAGATCCCCCGAGCCAGGTGCACAGGCAGCAGTGGGCGGACCCCAGGTGTGGGGTAGCAGTGGGCGGACCCGACCGAGTGAGGGTGCAAGGCGGCGGGCTGCCCCCGTCACACATTCGTGCGCAGATAAACCAGCAAAGGAGCAAGCGGTGAGACAGACTGCGAAGGCCCCAGCGGTGGGAAGCAGCAGAGGGAACCGCCATTGCCCCTCTTTGACCCCGCCCCCACATACAGCGTCACAACGTAGCGACCCTGGTCATCCCACCTTGGTGAACACCTATGGCTCACCTCCTCATACTTATGGCATGAACAGACCAAAATATAGCTCGAGAAGAACTCAAAACCTCAGAGCTGATAAGTCTAAGCAACCAAGTAATAGCCAAACTTTCAGATGCACAATTCAAAACACTGGTGATCAGGATGCTCACAGAACTGGCTGATTTTAGTCACAAATTAGAGGAACAAGTGAAGGCTAAACTAATTGAAATAAAGGGAATTGCACAGGAAACCAATAGTGATGGAAAGGAAATTGGGACTCAAATCAAGGGAGTGGACCAGAAGGAAGAAAAAAATGACCAAACAGAAAAATATGAAGAAATGAGAATTCAAAAAAATGAGGAGAGGCTTAGGAACCTCCAGGACATCTTTAAACGCTCCAACATCCGAATTATAGGGGTACCAGAAGGGGAGGAGGAACAGCCACCAGTGGAAAATTTATTTGAACAAATAATAAAGGAGAACTTCCCCTATCTGGCAAAGGAAATAGACTTTCAGGAAATCCAGGAAGCTCAGAGTCCCAAAGAAGTTGGACCCAAGAAGGAACGCACCAAAGCACATCATAATTACATTAGCCAAGATTAAAATGAAGGAGAGAATCCTAGAAGCAGCAAGAGATAAGGGGACAGTCACCTACAAAGGAGTTCCCATCAGACTGTCAGCTGATTTCTCAAAAGACACCTTACAGGCAAGAAGGGGCTGGAAAGAATTATTCCAAGTCATGAAAGCCAAGGACCTACAACCAAGATTGCTCTATCCAGCAAAGCTTTCATTTAGAATGGAAGGACAGATAAAGTACTTCTCAGATAAGATCAAATTCAAGGAGTTCATCATCACCAAGCCCTTATTATATGCAATGTTATAGGGACTTATCTAAGAAAAAGAAGATAAAAAAGATGAACAATGAAAGGACAGCAAACTCACAGTTATTAACAACCACACCTAAAACAAAAGCAAACTAAGAGGACAGCTAGATCAGGAGTGGAACCATAGAAATAAAGATCACATGGAGGGTTAGCAATAGTGGAGTGGGAGAAGGAGAAGGTACAGAAAATAAGTAGCATAGGTGGTAGGTAGAAAATAGATAGAGGGGAGGGCAAGAGTAATAGGGAAAATATAGAATCTAAAGAACTGAGACACATGGTCATAAACTAAAGGGGGGATGTTGGGGGAAGGGGTGTGCAGGGTGGAGGGGAATGAAGAGGGGAAATAGAACAAGTGTAATGGCGTAATCAATCAAATATATTTTTAAAAAATAAAATAAAAATAAAAAGAGAATCAACTGTATGGGGAAACATATTTGCCAATGATACCTCAGACAAGGATTTAATCTCCAAAATTACAAAGAACTTACATGACTCCACTCTAAGAAGAGAAGCAACCAATTAAAAAGTGGGCAAAGAACTTTAACAGACACTTCTCCAAGGAGGACATACAGAGGATCCAGAGACACATGAAAAGATGCTTAATACCACTAGCTATCAAAGAGATGCAAATTAAAACCACAATGAGATACCACTTTACACTGGTCAGAATGGCCATCATAAACAAAGCAACAAACAATAAGTTTTGGAGAGGTTGTGGAGAAAAGGGAACCCTAGTTCATTTTTGGTGGGATTGTAGACTGGTACAACCACTATGAAAAACAGTGTGGAATTTTCTAAGAAAACTAAAAATGGATCCGCCTTTTGACCCAGCAATTCCACTGCTAGGATTATATCCTAAGAACCCTCAAACACCAATCCAGAAGAACCTATGCACCCCAATGTTCATAGCAGCACAATTTACAATAGCCAAGAGCTGGAAGCAACCTATGTGCCCATCAGTAAATGAATGGATCCAAAAACCCTGGTACATTTACACAATGGAATTCTATGCAGCAGAAAGAAAGAAGGAGCTCCTACCCTTTGTAATAGCATGGATGGAACTGGAAAGCATTATGCTGAGTGAAATAAGCCAGGCAGTGAAAGACGAATACTATATGATCTCACCTTTAACAGGAAGCTAAACAACAAAATAAACAAGCAAGCAAAATATAACCAAAGACACTCAAATAGAGAACAGGCTGACAGTCACCAGAGGGGAGAGGGGAGGGAACTTCAGGCAAAAAGGGAAGGGCTTACAGGAACTAGTATAAAGGGCACATGGACAAAAACCAAGGGGGGTAGAAATGGGAGGGAAGTGGGGAGCACTGGGGTGGTGGGCTGGGATGGGAGTAAAAGACAGAAAACTGTACTTGAACAACAATTAAATAAATAAATTTTAAATAAATAAATAAAGTTAATGAAATATTAAAAATTTCCATTATCACAGAAGGTCTATTGATAGCACCAATACACTTTCTTTCCCCCCACCCAATTATCTACTGTTCTTAAATTGTCTCTGCTCCCAATATCTACTTATATTTTTTATATTTCTTTATTACAATTCTATGTGGTTCTGTTGTAAACTACCTTAGTTTCAATCTGGTACATTTCAGGGTATCAGTAATTTGAAATATCTGTGTGTAAAATCCCTATTGTTGCTGGGAACTCACTCTCAGTTTCTACCAGAGTGCACTTAGTTTACGTAAACACTCGCAACAACGTCTATGAAATGCGTAATATTTTCCAGTTTACAAAGACAAAACTGAGGCGAGGAGAGATGTCTTGGTCAAGTCTGCTTGCTAACGGAGTAGAACTCCCAAACTCCCTCGCATATCCTCATATTCCGTGAGCTTAGTCCGCATCTTAAATTGGAGACGCCTCCATAGAATCAGCCACTCCATCAAAAACAACCTCCTAGACTGCCTATGCCAAAGGACGCAGCAACAGAGTTATGTCTAACTTAGAACCGAAACTATAACATTTTGTAAATGAAGTACAGATTTAATTTTTTTAATAGTTTTTCTTAGGTTTACTTTATTTTTTTGGCATCACTCTAATTTTATTTATTTTTATTTTTTAATTAATTTTATTTAGTTATTTTTCATGTACAGTTTTTTGTCTATTTTTCCCATCCCAGCCTCCCCCGCCCCTTGCTCCCCACCTCCCTCCCATTTCCACCCCCCTTAGTTCTCCTCCCTGTGTCCTTCCTATTTGTTCCTCCAAATCCCTCCCCCTTTTTCCCCTTAACTTCCCTTCCTTCTCCCCTCTGGTCACTATCCCCTTGTTCTCTATTTTAGTGTCTTTGGTTTTTTTTTTTTCTGCTTGCTTGTTTGTTTTGTTGTTTAGCTTCCTGTTAAAGGTGAGATCATATGGTATTTGTCTTTCAGCACCTGGCCTATTTCACTCAGCATAATGCTTTAATTTTAGAATGCACTTCCCTGTGGCAGCACATCTTGATCCCTGGCCGCCAGGCCCAGGCAGGTCGAGGCAAACAGGGCTGAGGCTGAGCCAGGGAGTCCAGGCGGAGGCCCAGACCTGGCCTAGCAGCACCGGTATCCTGCTGCATTTTCAAGCTCCTGCAGGAGAGTTTTATGAAAGTCGTAAGCGAGCCCCACTCTCCTGCACTTGACTTACCTGCCGCTGGTCACAAAGCTCAGGTTTCTCCAGCAGCTTCCAGGCTCCACCACTGCTGGACTAGTGGAGGGAGTTGGAAGCCGGAAGCCCGGAACCGACTGGGATTGGCAGCGTAGATGGAGGAGGTGGGGCTGCAGGCCACGGAGCGCACAAGAGACAGCAGGAAACGTGTTAAGGGAAGGGATTATTGCCTCACATCCCTTTGTGGAAAGGCGGGTCTATTTCCGTTCACAGTGGACTCCCAGAGCTGGTTATCAGCATGACTGTGTTTTGGTTTTAGCTGTGCCCCCGTCCGGGTCTGTGCGCCCTGCTTGGCAGCAGTGAGTGGTAGTGAGTGTATTAAACAACAAAATTTTTAACTCCTAAAGGTGAAAGTCTTTTCAAAAGAAAGGTCTGGACCATTGCTGGCGAAAAAAGGAAATTGGTCCTGAGGCATGCAGTGTAAATTATCAGCAGCTTGGCTAGGCAGAAAAGACATATCCAACATCTAAGAGTTTTGCAAGCGTTTGTATACATCAAGTAGTGGGGAGAAATATGCAAGCTGTTCTGAAGAAATTTACATTAGTTATACAAAAGGGGAAGGGAGACGGTGAAGTAGGGCTAGTTCTGGGATAGAAGCAGCGGTGTTCACAACACAAAGGTAAAGTTCATGTGTAAAGAAGTGGAGGCTCCTGAAGTTGCAAGCTACCTGGCTGTTCTCTCTTTTGAATAATCACAGACATAGCCATCTGGAAATTACTCCTAAATTCCAACAAATACATGTGAATGTGAAAGACTTGTCAGAGCTAGTCCACAGCTATTAATAGGCTAACTGTTCTCTTAACCTTCCAGCTCCTGTAATTTTTTTTCTTTTAACCCTCACTGGAGGACCTGTTTTGATTTCAGAGACAGAGGAAGGTGGGGAAGAGAGAGGGAGAGTAAGGTATCAATGTCCCCAATTATTATTGTAGAACTGTTTCTTTCTTATGCTCTGTCTGTTTTGCTTCACATTTTTTTATGGTTTGCTACTAGGTGGTGGGTGAATGTTTGTTTTTGTTATATCTTTTGCTATATTGAACCTTTGTTAATATATAATGCCCCTTTTTGTCTCTTGCAAAATTTTTAAATATAAAGTCTATTTTGACTGATATAGCCACATTTGTTCTCTTTTGGTTATTACTTGCATTGACAATATTTCATTCCTTTCACTTTTAATCTGTTGGTATTGGATCTCAAGTGAATCTCTTTTAGATAGCATATAGTTGGATCCTGTGTTTTTATCCATTCTTACAATCTCTGTCTTTTGATGGTAAAATTTAATCTGTTTATACTTAAAGTAATTATGGATGAGAGACTTCTGTCATCATATTATTTCTTTTCTGTTATAGCTTTTATCAGTGTTTTTAAAATTTTACTTAAGTTATGGATTTAAAGTAAGTTAAGTAATTTACTTTAATTAAATTATTAAATTATGGACATTGATTAGTAAGATTGAGTATCAAGTATACTATATTATAATACAACATATTTTTAATTTATTGAATTTATTGGGGTGACATCAGTTAATAAAATTATATAGATTTCAGGTGTACAATTCTATCATACATCATCTGTATATTGTATTGTGTGTTTACCATTCAAAATCAAGTCTCCTTCCATCACCATATATTTGACCCCCTTTATATTCTTCTGCCTCCGCCACCTTCCTTCTCCTCAGGTACCCACCATACTGTTGTCTGTGTTAATGAGTTTTTTATTTGTTTATTTTTGTTCATTTGCTTTTTGTTTTATTTTTCACGCATGAATAGAATCATTATTCTTGCCTTTTTTTCACTCTGCATGATACTCTCAAGATCCTTTCATGTTGTCACAGATGGCAGTATTTTATTTTTTTCTTATGGCTGAGTAGTTTCTCATTCTATATGTCTACTACATCTTTTTTATCCAGTTATCTTTCCATGGAAAGATGCTTGGGATTATTCCATGTCTTACTACTATGAATAATACAATTAACATAGAAGTACACATATGTTTACAACTAACTGTTTTCAATTTTTTGAAATAAGAAAGAAATTGCTGGGTCACATTGTAGCTCTATTAATTATTTGAAAAACATCCATACTGTTTCCTATAGTGGCTATACCAATTTACATCCCCATCAACAGTGTGTGAGGCTTCCTTTTTATTCATATCCTCTCCAAAACGTATTATTTCTTGTATTGTTGATAACAGCCATACTAACAAGTGTAAGGTAATACCTTATTGTGCTTCAGATTTACATTTCTCTGATAGCCACTAAAGTTGAACATCTTTTCATATATCTGTTGGACATTTTTATGTTTTCTTGAGAAAAGTGTCTGTTGAGATCCTCTGCATGTTTTTAATTGGGTAGTTTGTTTTTTGTTGTTATTGATTTGTATAACTTCCTTACATATTTTAGATATTAGACATTTGTCCGAGGTATCGTTTGCAAATAACTTCTCCCACTTGGTTGCTTGCCTTTTTTGGTTTTGTTCACAGTTTCTTTTGTAAGCAGAAGCATTTTAGTTTGATATAGTCCCACTTATTATTTATTTTTGCTTTTAATTCCCTTGCCTTTTGAGGTCAAATTAATAAAATCATCTCTGAAACCAAGATCTGTAAGTTTAGTACCTATTTTTCTCTTATGTATTTAATTATTTCAGGGTTTATGTTTTGGTCTTTGATCAATTTTCAGTTAATTTTTGTGTATGATGCCAATAGCAGTCTTGCTTCATTCTATGCCTTTGTCTTTCTAATTTTTTTCAGCACCATTTATTGAAGAGACTTTCCTCTTTCCATTGTGTTTCTAGCTTCTTGGTTGAAAATTATTTGCACATATACCTGTGTGTTTATTTCTGGGCTCTGGTTTCTGTTTCTTTCATCTGTGTGTCTGTTCTACTGTCAATAGCATATTGTTTTTATTATTATAGATATATAGTATAATTTGAAGTCAGCAAGTGTAATATTTCCAAGAATTGTTCTTTTTTCTCAAGATTGCTTTGGCTATTTAGGCTCTCTTGTGATTCTATAGAAATTTGGTGATTTTTCAGTTCTGTTTTCCTGAGAAGTGCCACTGCAATTTTGATAGGGATTGTATTTAAACTGTATATTGCTTTCAGTAATATGACCACTTTAATTATGTTGATTCTCACAATTCAAGATCATAGAATATCTTTCCATCTTTTTGTGCCTTCAATTTCTTTCTGTAATGTCTTGTAGTTTTTAGTGTATAGGTATATCACATCCTTTGTTAGTTCATACCTAAGTATTTTTTGTGGCAATTTCAAGTGAAATTTTTAAATTTTGTTTTGTGAAATTATATTGTTATTATATGGGAACACAATAAATTTTTGTATATTAATTTCATATCCTGCAAATTTACTGTATTTGGTTATTGTTTCTAGCAACTTTTTGATGAAGTCTTTACATTTTTCTTTATGAAGAATTATGTCATCTACAAAAAGGGCCATTTTACATCTTCATTCTCGATTTGAATGCCTTTGTTTCTTTCTCTTCCCTGATGGCTCTGGCTGTGACTTCTAGGACTATGTTGAATAACAGTGGTGAGACTGGGCATCCTTTCTTGTTTCTAATATTGAAGTAAAAGCTTTTAGCTATTTATTATTCAGTATATTAGTTAAGGGTTTGCCATATGTGGCCTCTATTATGCTGAGGTACTTTTAGTCTATACCAACTATATTAAGTGTTTTAACTATAAATGGATGTTGCATCTTTGTCAAATGGTTTTTTGCATCCATTTGGTAAGATCATATTATTTTTATCCTTTCCTTTGTTAAGGTCATGTCTCATCTTAATTTGTTAAGGTAGAATGACCCCCACTTGATTGTGATATATTATATTTTTATTATATTGTTAGATTCCACTTGCTAGTATTTTGTTTAGAGTTTTTGCGTCTATATTCATTAGAGATATTGGTCTGTAACTTTTTTGGTGTGTGTTGTTCTTGCTAGGTTTTAGTTTGAGGGTAATTTTGGCCTCATGAAATGAATTAGGAAGTATTCCTCTTCTTCAGTTTTGTGGAAGATTTTGAAAAAGATAGGTATTCATTTTTCTTTTTTCAGTCTTTTAAACTTTTCTTTTAATTCTTTTTAATTATTTTTTTACTTTTTAACTTATTGTTGTTCACTTACAGTTGTCCCACCTTTTTCCCCATTGCTTACCCCAATCCCCTACCCCCACTCCCACTGTCAATCCCTCCTTATTGTCTGTGCCCATGAGTCCTCTATTCATGTTCCTTTCCTTGCCCATTCCCCTTCTTTCCACCATTATCCCCCTCTCATCACTGTCAGTTTATTCTTTATTTCTAAGTCTATGTATTAAATTTTCTTTGAATATTTGGTAGAATTCTCCAGTGAAGCCATCTGGTCCTGGACTTTTACTTTTTAAAAGGTTTTTGATGACTGCTTCAATTTCCTAGCTGTTGATCAATCCATTTTGATCTTCAGTTCTTTATGATTTTTCTAAGAACTTATCCATTTCTTTTTAGGTTAGCAAATTGAGTGATATATAGTATTTTCATATGATCATTTGTATTTCTGTGGTGTTCATCATAACTTTTCTACTTTCATTTTATTTTTTAATTTAATATTTTTAGTAAATATTTTTATTTACTTTAGAGAAAAGGGAAGGGAGGGAGAAAGAGAGAGAGAAACATCAGTGTGTGTTTGCTTCTCATGTGCTCCCCACTGGAGATCTGGCCCACAACCCGGATATGCTCCCTGACCGGGAATTGAACTGGCAACCTTTTGGTTCACAGGTGGGCAGTCACCCAAACCATTGAGCCACACCAGCCAGGGCTCTTTAAAATTAAATCTTTATTGTATATTTTTCATTACCATTTAGTCCGCTTATTCTTTCATTTCTGATTTTGTTTATTTGAAACTTTTTAAGTGAATCTAGCCAAAGTTTTGTCACTTTATTCTTTTTAAAGACCCAACTTTTTGTTACATTGTTGCTATTACCTTTTTGTTCTCCATTTACTTTCATTCTGTTTTAACTTTCATTGTTTTATTTCTTCTTCTTACTTTGGGCTTTGCTTTTTTTTCCTAGTGCTTTAAGGAAATAGTGTTATTTATTTAAAATTCTGCTTGTTTCTTGAAATAGGCTTTTAGCGATATTCCCTCTAATTACTGCTTTTGCTATATCCCTCAAAATTTGAAATGTCATTATTTTCTCATTTTACTCTACATATACTTTGATCTCTTCTTTTCTATTTTCTTTGACCCAATCATTGTTTAGTATCATGTTCTTTAATCTACACATATTTGTAAGGGTTTTGCTTTCTTTTTGCAGTTGATTTTCAGTTTTAAAGCACTATATTCAGGTAATATGTTTGGTATGGTTACAATCTTCTTAAAATTGTGGAGGCTAGCTTTCCATCCAAATATATGGGCTATACTTGAGAATTTTCCATTTGTGCTAGTGAATTTGTATTCTCATGTTCCAGGATGAAAGATTCTATAAATACCAATTTTGTCCATTTGGTCTTATGTGTCACTTAAGGTTAATATTTTCTTATTGATTTTCTGTTGGGATGATCTGTCTATAGATGTCAGTTGGGTATCTTGGTCCCCTAATAAGATTGTGTTTTTGTAAGTTACTCCCTTTTAGTTCTGTTTTATATATTTTGTTGCTCCTGAGTGCATATATGTTGATAAGTGGTATATTTTTGATGCATTATCCTCTTTATCATTATGAAAGTATTAATCTTTGTTTCTTGTCACTCTTTTTTGTCTTGAAACCTGTTTTGTCAGACATAATTATTACTACACCTGCTATTGTGAATGTCACTTTCTTGGACTATTATTTAGGAGCTCCACCCTCTACCCTCCCCAAGTCAGTCCCCACACCATTGTCCATGTCTTTGGGTTATGCATAAATGTTCTTGATTAATCCCTTCACCATTTTTCATCCAGTCTTCCTCACCCCTCTGGACACTGTCAGTCTCTTTTTTGTATCTCTGCTCCTGTTTCTATACTGTTTGCTAGTTTAATTATGTTCATTAGACTCTACGTATAAGTGAGATCATGTAGTATTTGTCTTTCACTAACTAGCTTATTTTACTTAGCATAATATTCTTAGCATAATTTGAATATTTGAATCTACTCCCTGCTAGCTTAGAGGATTTTTGCTGAGAAATACCATGCTAATCTAATGGGATTTCTTTTTTCCTGGATGCATTGAAAATTCTTTCCTTGTCATTAATTTTTTTCTTTTAGAGAAAGGGGAAGATAGGGAGAAAGAGAGGGATAAAAAGTTTAATGTGGGAGATCAATTGCCTCTGGTACATACCCCAATCAGGGACCGAACCCACAACCTAGGCATGTGCCCTGACAAGGAATTGAACTGATGACCATTTGCTTTGCAGGATGGCACCCAACCCACTGAGCCACACCAACCAGGGTTCTCATTATTAATTTTTGGTATTTTCAATATAATGTGCCTTAAAGAAATTCTTTTGGATGGAAATAATTAGGTGCTTTGCTAGCTTCTTGCATATAATAATCCAGTACTTTCCAAAGTTTAGAAAGTTTTTGTCACTTATTTGTTTGAATAGGCTCTTTATTCCTGTCTCCCACTCTTCACCTTCTGGTATACCCAGTATTCTTATATTACTCTTTCCATTGGAATCAGATAGTTATTGTATATATTTTTTCTATGAAAATTCTATCTTGTTCCACCTAAGTCACTTCTAGATTTCTATCATGTATGTCATTAATTATTTCTTTCATTTTGTCTGCTGTATACCCTAAGGTAACTAGTTTTTTTTTTTTATTTTTTATTCAGTCTTCAGTAACAGAAATTTTGTTTGGTTCTTTTTTTATTTTTATTTATTCATTTATATTATTTATTGTTATTTTTAATTTTGTTGTATTTTTCCATTACCATTTATCCCCCCATTCCCTCTTCCACTTCCACCCACCCCTCTTTCTCCTACAATGACCACACTGTTGTCTGTGTCCATGAATTCTTTCCCTTTTTTATTTTTTTGCTTGATCCCTCCGCCCCCTAACCCTTGCTCCCAGAGCTGTTACCCTGCTCTGTACCTGTGAGTCTATCTGTATTTTGCTTGTTAGTTCAGTTTGTTCATTAGATTCTACATATGAATGAGATCATATGATACTTGTCTTTCTCTGACTGGCTTATTTGACTTAGCATAATGTTCTCCAGGCTCATCCATGCTGCTACACAGGGTAAAATTTTCTGTTTTTATGGCCAACTAGTATCCCATTGTGTAAATGTTCCATAGCTGTTTTATCCACTTGTCTACTGAAGGACACTTATTTGGCTCCTTATTATAGTTTCAATGTTCTTGAAACTATAATTTAACTTATATTAGCTTAACTTCAATAACATACAAAAACTCTGCTTCTAGGAATTTCTGTAGTGTAGTGGTTATCACATTTGCCTCAGAAAAACTCTGCTTCTTTATACTTCTATTCCCACCTCTTTCAGTTGCTGATGTCACAAAATTGTATCTTTACACAATATGTGTCTCCAAACATAAACTAATAAGTATTTGAAATGTGTCAGTCCCTTAAACTACGTAGAAAATAAGTTTTGGGTTTATGAACCAAAATTATAGTAATACTAGCATTTATATTAATATTTCAATATATACTAGTCTGCTAAGTAACATAGAAACAAAAGTACAACTACAAATCATTGTTGTAATAGTATCAAGTTTTTAAAAAATATTTTACTTACTTATTTTTAGAGAGAGGGGAATGGAAGGAGAAAGAGAGAGAAAGATATATGCATGTGTGGTTGCCTCTCAGGTACCCCCTACTGGGGACCTGGCCCACAACCCAGGCATGTGCTCCAACTAGGAATTGAACTGGCAACCCTCTGGTTTGCAGGCCGTGCTCCATCCACTGAGCTACAACATCCAGAGTAATATTAACTTTTTAATTGCCACTATATCGGGTTGGTTAAAAAGTCTCTATAGTTTCTTCCATAAAATAAAAGACATATTTTTCATTTTCACCAATAGCTTTATTGATTTGGATATTTTGAATAAGTCAGCTATTTCCTGCATGGTATAATGTTGATTGTTCTCAATTAATGTCTCAATTTGATAGCTATCAACTTCAACTGGTTTACTCAACCATGGAGCATCATCCAGTGAGAAGTCTTCAGCAGGAAACTTTGCAAACCACTTTTGACACATTGCATCAGTTAGAGCTGGGGTCCACAAGGCCACTGACAGGTACCAGACTGCACAGAAGGAGGTAAGCATCAGGCCAGCAAGCTAGTGAAGCTTTGCTCACATTACCACCTGACATCTACCTCCTGTTTTCTCCACCCCATCCATGGAAAATATGTCTTTCATGAAACTGGTCCCTAGTACCAGAAAGGGTGGGGACTGCTGAGTTAACAGCAACTTCTCCATATACTGCACAAATGTTTTTTAGTTTTTGAGTTGTGTTTTTACCTTTTTTGAAATAATAAAGCATAATATGCTTAAAATGTTGTATATATTCTTCAATCTTCGATATTTAAATGGCTACACAAAAACTCATTAATTTTTATACTTTTTAAAAAATACACACTGATATGACAGATATCACAATGCAATCTAACAAAATTGTTTGGAATGAAGTTAAAGATAACTAAGCACTACTAGAGCCATGTTACAGAAAAAACAAATGAACCTTTTGGCCAATGCAAAATTTATCTTTATTGAGATCTTTTTTTCTCTAGGATTTACATGGTTTCGAGTCTAACATTTAAGTCACTTTTTATTGTTGTTCAAGTACAGTTATCTCCATTTTTCCCCCACCACTCCACCGACCCCAGCTATCCCTACCTCCCACTCTCTATCCTACCCCTCTTTGGTTTTACCCATTTATCCTTTATACATGTTCTTTGATCATCTTTTCCCTCTTTTTCCCTCCATTATTCCTTCCCACCTACCCTCTGGTTACTATTGAGATCTTATTTCTTCATATGGCTTTGATTTACTGTGTAGTGTCCTTTTATTTCCTCTTGCAGGATTACCTTGAGTATTTCTTACAAGACATATTTAGTGGTCAGAAACTCAGCTTTTGTTTATCTGGAAATCTCTCTTAGTTTCTTCCTCACTTTTTATGGACAATTTGACTAGATATAAGATTCTTGATTGAGATTATTTCTTTAAGCACTTTGAATACATCTCCCCACTGTCTTCTGGTCTCCATAGTTTCTGATTAGAAATCCAGTAATTTAATTGAGGATCCCTTGCATGTGACCTTTCACTACCTTAGTGCTTTTTTCAAGATTCCCTCTCTTTTTTCAAGATTCCCTTTCAAGATTACCACAATGAGATAGCACCTCCACCTGCCAAAATGGCTACCATCAATAAATCAACAAACATCAAGTGCTGGCAAGATGTTGAGAAAAGGAGACCCTAGAGCATTGCTGGTGGGAATCATCTTACACTGCTGGAGCAGCTACTGTGGAAAACATGGAGTTTCCTCAAAAAATTAAAAATGGAACTGCCTTTTGACCCAGTGATTGCACTTCTGAGAATATATCCTAAGAATCCTGAAACACCAATTTAAAAAAAAATGTATGTACCCCTATGATTATAGCCAAGGTCTGGAAATAGCCCCAGTGTCCCTCAGTACGTAAGTGAATAAAAAAGCCATGGTACATTTACACAAGGGAATACTACATGGCCATAAAAAAGAAGAAATCTTACCTTTTGTGACAGCATGGATGGACCTGGAGATTATTATGATAAGTGAAATAAGCCAGCCAGAGAAACACAAATACCATATGTTCTCATATGTGAAATATACTGAACAAAATAAACCAAGTAACTGAATAAAAATAGAGGCATGGCTATATGGAACAGTTACAGTAGTCAGAGAGAAGGGGAGAGGGAATAGAAGTTTAAGGGATGAGCCAAAGAAGATATATGCATTACCCATGGACACAAACAACAGTGTGCTGATGACCAGAGTAAAAGGAGGGGGGGGCAGAGGCTGGGTGGAGAGGGGAAAAGTGGGATACTGGAAACATATGTAATTGTGTCAAAAGTAAAAATAAAATGTAAAAAAGATTTTCTTTCTTTTTTCACCTTTTAAATTTTTGATTACTATGTGTCTCAGCGGGGCTCTTTTTGAGTTTATTTACCTGGAATTCATTGAGTTTCTAGAAAACATTTATATCTCTCATAAAATTTCAGCCAGTATTTCTTCAAATACTCTCTTTGCTCCTTTGAATCTCTATTCTTTATTTTAGTAGTATACTGTTACAGTTGTCCCAATTTTCCCCCCTTTGCCTTTCTGCATTCATCCAGCACCCTCTCTCACAGGCAATTTCCAAACTGTTGTCTGTGGGTCATTCATATATCTTCTTTGTTTAGTCCCTCCCCTTTTTTTCACCTTATCACCTTCCCCCATCCCCGCTGCTCACTTGCAGTCTGTTCCATGTTTCCATACTTGTGGTTCTATGTTGTGAGTTAGTTTATTTTGATCTTTGGATTCCTTTTATAGGTGAGATCATATGGCATTTTTCTTTCACTGACTGGCTTATTTCACTTAGCATAATAATCTCCAATTCTAACCATACTGTCACAAGGAGTTCCTTCTTACTTTTTGCTGCATAGTATTCCATTGTGTAAATGTACCACAGTTTTATCACTCATTTGCTGATAGGCACTTAGGCTATTTCTAGCACTTGACTATTGTAAACAGTGCTGCTATGACCATAGGGGTGCATAAGTTTTTTGGAATTGGTGATTCAGGATTCTAGGGTATATTCCCAGCAGCAAAACTGATGGTTTAAAAGGCAGAGTTCTATTTTTAGTTTTCTGAGGAAATTCCATACTGTTTTCTACAGGCTGTACCCTTCTGTATTCCTACCAACAATGCACTAGGGTTACCTTTTCTCTGCTGCCTTGCCAGCACTTGCTATTTATTGATCTATCACTGATGGCCATTCTGAAAGGTGTGAGGTGATATCTCACTGTGGTTTTAATTTGCATCTCTCTGATGGCTAGTGATGTTGAACATCTTTTCATCTGTCTGTGGGCCATCTGAATGTCCTCCTTGGAGAAGTGTCTATTCAGGACCTTTGCCCATTTTTCAATTGGGTTGTTTTCCTGATGTTGAGCCACATGAATTCTTTATATATTTTAGAGATCAAACCCTTATCCAGTGTAATACTGGCAAATATGTTCTCCCATACAGTCAGTTCCCTTTTTATTTTACGGATGGTTCCTTTTAAAAAATTTTTATTTATTGTTGTTCAGTTACAGTTGTCCTGCATTTTTTCCCATTGGTTACCCCTACCCTATCTCCCATCTTTCCTACAGTCAGTCCTGCCCATTTTCCACACTCATGAGTCATCTATTCCTGTTCCTTTATTTGCCCCTTCTGTTTGTAACCTCCATTATCCCCCTCTCCTCTCCCTCCCAGCCATGTCATATTATTCTTTATTTTCACGTCTCTGGTTGTATTTTGCCTGCTTATTTGTTTTGTCGATTAGGTTCCACTTATAGGTGAGATCATATAGCATTTGTCTTTCATGGCCTCAATTATTTCACATACCATAATTCTCTCCAGATCTATGTGCTTCCCTTCTGCTACATAGGATTCCATCGTGTAAATGTACCATAGATTTTTGATCCACTAATTTACTGATGGCTATTTAGGTTGCTTCCAGCACTTGGCTATTGTAAATTGTGCTGCTAAGAACATTGGGGCATAGGTTCCTTAGAATTGGTGTTTGAGGGTTCTTAGGATATACTCCTAGCAGTGGAATTGCCAGGACAAAAAGAAGTTCCATTTTTAGTTTTATAAAGAAAATCCATTTGTTTTTTTTTTTAATGAAACTTTATGCGTGAGTCTGCATTCCCACCAACAGTGTACTATGGTTCCCTCTTCTTCACAACTGTTCCAACACTTGTCGTTTATTGATCTGGTTATGAAGGCCAATGCATCTATAAATTGGTTTGGATAGTATGAACATTTTGATGATGTTAATTCTTCCAATCCATGAGTATGGTATATTTACTGTGTCTTATCAGTAGCCAGTTGTTTGTGTCTTCTGTATCAGTAACCATTTTTCTCTGTCTTCCTTAATTTCTTTCTTTAGTGTTGTGTAGTTTTTCAAGTACAAGTCTTTTACCTCCTTGGTAAGGTTTACTCATAGGTATTTTATTTTTCTCGTTGCTATATCATATGAGATTTTTTTCCTGATTCCTCTGTCTGTTGTTTTATTGTTGATATACAAAAATGCCTTTGGATTTCTGAATATTTACTATGTATCCTAATGTTTTGCTAAATTCACTTATTTGGTTGAGTACTTATTTGGTGGAGTCTAGGATTTTCCATGTACACTATCATGTCATCTGCAAACAGTGACAGTTTTGTTTCCTCTATTCTAATTTGGATGCCTTTTATCCCTTTTTATTGTCTCATTGCTCTGGCTAAGACTTCCAATACTACATTGAATAGGAGTGGTGAAAGTGGACAGCCTTGTCTTCTTTCTGATCTTTGTGGGAAAGCTTTTAGTTATTGCCCATTGATTATGATGTTGGGTGTAGGTCTCTCCTGTATGGCCTTTATTACATTGAGAAATGCTCCTTCTATTCCCACTTTGCTGAGTGTTTTTATCATAAATGGGGGCTGTACCTTATCAAATGCTTTTTCTACATCTATTGATATGATCATGTGAGTTTTTTTTTTTTTGCTTTTCTTTATGTGAGGTATTACATTTACTGATTTGCGAATATTGAACCATCCTTGCATCACTGGGATGAATCACACTTGGTCATGGTGTATGATCTATTTAATGTATTGTTGGATGCAGTGTGCCAATATTTTGTTGAGGATTTTAGCATCTATGTTCATCAGCCATATTGTCCTGAAGTTTTCTTTCTTTGTTGTATCTTTATCTGGTTTTGGGATTAGGATGATGGTGGCTTTATAAAAAGAGTTTGGGAGTCTTCCATAATTTTGCAGTTTTGGAATAGCCTGTGAAAATAGGGGTTAGCTCTTCCTTAAATGCTTTGTAGAATTCTTCTGTGAAACCATCTGGTCCAGGGCTTTTGTGCTTCAGGAGATTTTTGATTACTGCTTCAATTTCATGTGCTGTTATTTGGTCTATTCAGATTTTCTGCTTCTTCTTCATTGAGCTTTGAAAGATTATATTTTTCTAGAAATTTGTCCATTTCACCTAGGTTTTCAAATTTTTTGACATACAGTTGTTCATAGTAATTTTTTACAATCCTTTGTATTTCTGTTGTGTCAGTTGTAATCTCTCTTTCATTTCAAATTCTGTTTATTTTGGTTCTCTCTGTGCTTTTCTTGATGAGCCTGCTTAAAGGCTTTTTAATTTTGTTTATCTTTAAAAAAAATTAGCTCCTGGATTCATTGATCTTTAAAAATGTGCTTTTAGTCTCTACGTTATTTAATTGTGCTCTTATCTTGGTTATTTATTTCCTTCTACTTGCTCTGTGCTATCTTTGTTGTTGTTCTTCAAGTTCTTGTAGGTGTGGGGTTAGGTTGTTTGTTTGAAATGTTTTTATCTTTTTTAGGTATGCCTGTATTGCTATGAACTTTCCTCTCAGGACTGCCTTTGCTGTGTCCCATAAGTTATGGGTTGTTGGGAGTTCATTTGCATTTGTTTCCAGAAACTGTTTGATTTCTTCCTTAATTTCATTTTTTGACTCATTTGTTGTTTAATAGCATGCTATTCAATCTCCTTGATTTGGGGTGTTTTAGGTTTTTTCCTTTGGGGTTGGTTTCCAGTTTCAGTCCCCTGTGGTTGGAGAAAATGCTTGGGATGATTTCAATTTTCTTAAATTTGTTGAGGCTTGTTTTGTGTCCCAGCATGTGGTCTATCTCTGAAACTGTTCCATGTACATTTGAAAAGAATGTGTATTTAGCTTCTTTGGGATGAAGAGCTCTCTCTCTATATATATATCAGTTAAGTCCATTTCATCTAGGACGTTGTTCAGTTCCACAATATCTGTGTTGATATTTTGTTTGGAAGATTTGTCCATTTTTTAAAGTGGGGTGTTAAAATCTCCAACTTTAATTGTGTTGCTGTCAATATCTTTCTTGAAGTCCTCTAATATTTTCTTTGTATATTTGGGTGCTCCTATGTTGAGTGAATATATATTTACAATGTTTATGTCTTGTTGGTGGGTTCTTCCTTTGAGTATTATGAAGTGACCTTCTGCGTCTCTCTTTATGGCCCTTTTTTTGAAGACTATTTTGTCTGATGTGAGTATTGGCACCTCTGCTTTTTTTCCCTGTTCATTTGCTTGGAAAATTTGTTTCCAGCCCCTCACTTTTAATCTGTGTTGGTCTTTTGTCCTGAGTTAGGTTTCTTGTAGGCAGCAAATGTGTGGGTCATGGTTTCTTATCCATTCAGCTATTGTATGTCTTTTGATTGGAGCATTTAATCCATTTACATTTAAGGTTATTATTGATAGGTACTTATTCATTGTCATTTTTATACCTTTGTTCCTCTCTGTCTCCCTCTTTTCCTTCCTTTCCATAAAGCTATCTGTTTAGCATCTCTTGCACAGCTGGTTTGGTGGAGATGTATTCTTTTAGACTTCTTTTGTCTTGGAAGCTCTTTATTTGGCCTTCTATCTTGATTGGGTGCCTTGGTGGATAAAGTAACCTTGGTTGCAGACCTCTGGTTTTCATTACTTGGAATATTTCTTGCCATTCTCTTCTTGCTTGGATTGTTTCCATTGAGAAGTCATCAGTTAACTTATTTGGGCTCCCTTGTATGTTACTTTCTGTTTTTCCCTTGCTGCCTTTAAGATTCTCTCTTTGTCTTGGAATTTTGCCATTTTAATGATGATGTGTCTTGAAGTAGGCCTCTTTGGGTTTGTCTTGATTGGGACTCTCTATGTTTCCTGGATTTGTGTGACTTTTTCTCTCATTAAATTAGGGAA